GTGCAAGGGACCAGCGAAGAGAAAGCGGCACTGTGGGAAGAGGAGAGGAGTCAGGAGTTTCTCAAACCTGGCTATTGGTTAGGAGTGGAGTGTAGACTGGCTTACTAACTCTAAAAAAAGTAAGTGAGATTTGGTTCTGCGTTCTGCATGATAACATGAATTTTAATAAAGTCTTGGTGCGTCCGATAGCAGGCTGGGGAGGAGAGCGCCTAGCCAACTGTGTGACCAGGCAGTCTCTGATAGATTAACAGCAGCTTTTCCTCCCCTGACTGTCGGTCACTCCAGACCTAAGCAAACAAGCATCTGACACCGATTGTCCTAGAGAATCTCGGGGTTTTAGTCATCAGCTTGGTGCCCCTAAGGGAAGTCCTGTCCTATTAACCAGGGGGCCTCCGGCTAGAAATGAATTTGAACCTTGCTGCACCCTCACCAGAGCATCATGTCATAACTCTCCCCGCTGAGAGACATCCAGTTGCGCAGCCTCTCCTTAAGGATGGCCACCTGAGTAAAAGTAGCAGCCTGAAAAAGAAACCGAAACGCACACAGACTCGAAAAGTAAATTCTACAGGAAAGGAAGACAATCTGGGAATGGAGGGAAATGACTCAACACTTTGCCAATAAGACGGTCTGAAGAAAAGATAGTTATTAGAAAGCAATAACATAATAGTTGAAATAAAATGCTCAAAATAATGATAAAAGAGGGACTGTCAGAACAGACTAAAAAGAAAACATGAAAGAACAGATAAAAAAAAAAACAAGAAAAGATGCAAAAGTTCAATATTTACTAAATGGAGTCCAGGAGAACACAGAGAGAAAAGGCTAGAAAGAAACATCAACAAAACCTATAAGGTAACGAGGGGAGTTTATTCTGGAGCTATTTTGAGTGACCATGGCCAAGGAACACAGATGTTGGTTCCATGTTCCAACATGGAAGCAGTTTCATGAAGCTTTATAGTTTCACAGAACAGAAAAAGTCATAAATCAAGGCAGGTTTAAAATACACTGAAGGGAAGGAACATCAGAGCAGGGATACAGTGAGGCTGTAGCCCCAAGATCGCTCAGAGCTAGGGTCTTAGTTAGGGTTTCTATTGTTGTAATAAACACCTCAACCAAAAGCAATTGTGAGCAGGACGGGAGGGCAGGAACCGGGAGGCAGGAGGCAGGAGGCAGGGCTGAAGCGAGCTCAGGCTAAGGTAATTAGTCTCTGGATTGCGGACAGTCCAACCTCTCCACAACTTCGTGTTCTAATCAGTCCATCGGTCCCTGCAGAGAGGATTAACAAGGAGATACGCCCTGGATTAACACCAGCAATTTTCCAATCCTTCTATCTCTGGACAGGGACACACACACACACACACAAACGGGATGGGACTTTGATGGAAACCCATTTGGTGACCACTGTGGGAGAATAGTTTTTAGACTCACCAGCCCACCAAATTAAAAAATAAAAGAGTTCCGTTTTCTCTTTCCTTTTCCTCCCTCCTACCCTTTCTTTCCTCTTCCCTTCCCTTCTCTCTCTTCAAACCTCCTTCCCCTTTTGAGAGAGTGATTTGCTACAAAGACAACGTAAATACTTCTTTTCAAAGGGAGGATCAGGAGAATAGTGAGGGAAGATCAGACCAATGCAAGGCCTCTGACGTCACCACACCCCTCCAGCTCGGTGGCCTACAGTGTAGACAGCCTCTCTACTAAGCGCCTGCTGCTATCTTTAGCAGATGCCGTGTGTTTCTGGCACCTCCAACATCCTGGGGTCTTCACTGCAATTTTACAATTTCACACACAGCTTGGGAGTCCATGGGAATTCGGCTTTTGGGAATCTTGATGCCAGCCTCCATGACCCCATTACTCTCGGATCTTATACAGGCAAAACCAGCACCATGTGGACAAAGCCAGCTCAGGCAGCAGCATGGCCCTTTGGGGCCACAGCTGTAGCAACCTCTGTGTGCCGTCATAACTGAATCTGGGAAAACACTTCCCTGGGCAGCCATTTTCCCACAGGTACCCCGAAGGCTCATTCATATTTTCTGGCAGTCTCTGGCCACGTGTTCACACTGCTGTACGCTAGGGCTCTGGAGGTGGCGCATCTAACCCGCCAGGCACCTCTCCTATTGTCCAGGGTCTGAGGTTTCTCCTCAGTGGCAATTATCTGTTTGGTCCCAGGCCCTGTGCTGATTTGAATGAGATGCTCTCCCACAACTCCATGTACTTGAACCCTGGTCCCCAGGTGGGGCACTGTGTGGGGAGGCTTAGGAGATACGGCCTTGTTGGAAGAAGTATGTCGCTGAGAGTAGGCTTTGAGAGTCAGAAGACTTGTGCCATTTCTAGTTTGTTCTCTGAGCTTTGTGCCTGTGGTTCAAGACGTGAGCCCTTAGCTTCCCTTCCTGTCGCCAGGCCAGTTGCTGGTTGTCCTCTCTCTGCTCCACCACCATAGCACGAGACTCCTCTGAAACCATAAGCCAGAAGAAACTCTCCGTCAGCTGTCAGCTGCTTTTGGTTGGGATGGTTTATCACAGCCACAGAACAGTAACCGGCACAGCTACTTTGTCCAAACAGCTCCATCCCCAGCGCTAACCGGGTGCGCTTTCTTCTTGTCCGAAGGCGTGCTCCTCCATCTTCCTGCTCCACTTTCTCTCCTCTCCCTGGTCAAAACCGGTAAGCACCGTCATCAACCACACCACAGTCATGCCGCAACCCAGATGGAATTCTACCTTGAAGTTTCCACTCCCAGACAACTTCATCCACTCCTTGCTCAGGGTCACTGTCTGTTTTGGGATTTTGAGATGGCACCTTTCTAGGCAGCCCTGGCTATCCTAGAACTCACTCTGTAGACCAGGCTGGCCTGAAGCTCTTAGAGATCTGCCTGCCTCTGCTTCCCTAGTGCTGGAATTAAAGTTGTGCACCACCACGTCCGGCTTTGTTCATTGCTTTGGAATTCAGCAGAGTGTTAATCCTACCAGGCTGGAATAAGACCACTACCACAGTTTTTGAACCAGATTTGAAGCAGGCTTTATTAAATTTAAATGGCCAGGACAATGGACACCGGCCAGGTCCATACCCAGGATTTCCAGTGAATGGCCACGAATTACCTTAGTCAGGTGCTTATAAAGACAAAGGTAGCAGGACTATGTACTTCCTGCCTTCATCCAATCAGGTACAAACATACATCCTGACTACTTCCTGCCCACGCACATCCCACCAATGCCAGAGCAAGGACATCCTATGTAGCTGGAGCAACCAAGTTTGTTTACAGAAGTGAAAACACCTGGCTAATTATTTTACGTGAATTACAGCCCCCACATTCCAGAAGTCATCTGTCCTTGGGCAAGTGAAACTTAAAGGTTAGAGGCATTTTTTCTTCCAAAGATATTCTCTCTCTCTCTCTCTCTCTCTCTCTCTCTCTCTCTCTCTCTCTCTCTCTCTCTCTCTCTCTCTCTTTGGATTTTCGAGACAGGGTTTCTCCGTAGCTTTTGGTTCCTGTCCTGGAACTAGCTTTTGTAGACCAGGCTGGCCTCGAACTCACAGAGATCCGCCTACCTCTGCCTCCCAAGTGCTGGGATTAAAGGCGTGTACCACCACCTCCCGGCTCCAAAGATCTCTTAATGATGGTAAATTAAACTTAAAATATAAGTTTGGCCCTCATAATCCTTGTTCCCCAAGTGCCCCAGAAGACTGTTAAACAGTGGGGAGTATCAGGCCCATGAGTCTATTCTTTCTTTTAGCTGCCTGTAGTCTCCCTTAGACACCCGAAAAATTCCTGTAGAAGCAACATGCCTCCCCTAACACGGCGGTTTCCTCCCCTCTCTGCTGCAAGGAGACTGATTTTGTTATCACCATCCATCCTGTAATGCCATTGCGGTGAGGGAACGAGGGAACTGAGTCTGGCGTTTTTCAGAACTGTCCTGGCCAGCGTCAGGTTAGCCTTGGTTGGTTAGGAGAGTTGGCTGTGTTGTACGTGTTGGGAGTCCAGTGGCTGTGCTCCCCGGGGCCACAGCCCCTGCTGTGGTTACTCCTCATAGGAGTGGAAGTAATATACTATCCCTTTTGGCTCGGATGAGGATGGGGCGGGTTGATTTATCCTTCCAGGGATGACTCTAAAATCCAGAACTAAGTATACCACTTGGCAGGAACTGACGGGGTAACAGGAGAAGAGGGGTATGTGAAATGGGTGCCCCCAGGGGCTCTTGAGTTGGAGAGTAACCTGGTGCAATTGGGGTAGGGACCCCCACAGACAGCTGTGCCCCAGTTTGTACATGCAGGGCCCAGAGGCAGGTCTTGAAGAACATGGAGCTGTTGGCTCAAGGGATCTGAGTTAAGCCTATGTAACTTGTCTTGTTCTTAGACAAATCCGGCAATCAGGTGAGCTTGGATTTTAGAGAGCATTTCACGGTGGTATAGGGAGTGTGTGAGTGCGTAAGAACCTCAAGAGTGTATGGTGGTGTGTAGGGGGGTTGATAGGATGGGGCTTGAGGCTTAATGTATTGTTGGCCTCGACGGGTTCGTACGTTCCAGGATAGGGAGCATGTGGATTATGTTAGGCAGAAGCAGAGAGACACAAGAGAAATGGACAGAGCCACAGGATAGAGTTGGAAGGGCAACCCAGTGAATGCTGAATCTGCCCACGTTTATTTCTCATAGACTTTACATACCCCAGTTCAAAGAGGAGGGGGAAGACAAAAGACTTCTTCACTGAGATGAAGGAACAAATAAAGTAATCACCTTCTCACTACCCAAAGCATCAACTAACCACAGCCTAGATCAAAACATCCTGTAGCTAGCCATACCCTGGGTCAAACCTCCAGTTATAACCTTGAAGGAGCAAGAATAGGCAATGCTCTTAACTGCTGAGCCATCTCTCCAGCCCCCGAAACGATTTTCAAACAGAAAACAAAACAAAATGAAACAAAACAAATGAGAAGTATCACATTTCTTTATTTCTACTTTATGTGTATGGATGGATGGTTTGCCATCATTCCAACCCCAAGATTTCATGTTTCTTTTTTTTTTTTTCAAGTCATTCTATCTTTAATAACCTGGCATTAATTCAAAGCATGAAAAACAAAAGTTAAGATTGTTCCTTTTACGGGAGATGCCCATTACGATAGAGTCAGTCACGTGGTGAGATAGGATTCCAAACAGTGCGGGAAGGCGTCCCTGCTCACGGATTGACGCATTTGGTTACTGATAATCAGCCTGCGGGCGGGCAGCAGAGGAAATTAACGAACTCTCAGAGAACAGGACGCGGTTGCTGGGTCATGAGCACCTTGAAGCGTTTCTTGATGGTGATTCGGTGTCTTGAGTATTTGTCGTCAGGGGAAAAGCGAGCAGGATGGGCAGAGCAAGTCTGTTGTCCCATCGGGTCAAATTTCTTTAACGTATAGACGCGATCTCCCTGTTCGTTGAGGTAATACTGGAGAAACATGACTGCACTTCAGCAGGAAGACGCCAAGCTGTCTGCAGTCAGTCGCCTTTGCCAGGAGTGCGGCTCCTCAAACGTGCTTGCCAACTTCCTTCTCGATTTCATGTTTCTTGATTTCAAACTACATTACAAAGCTACTGTACCCTTTGTACCGCTAGCACAAAGCACTGGTCTCTGGAACAGAATGCAGAGCACTGAAACAAGGCCAAGAACTGCGAGCCATTGCTGGCATACTGCATCTGTTTTTCATTGCACTTCACAGATCTTTGCTTTTTTAGACTGTAGACTGGCTTGGAACTCGCTGTGTATAGTGGACTAGAGTTCACAACGATCTTTCTGCCTCAGACTCCTGAGCACTAGAATTACATGTCACTATGCTTTAATGTTGTTTGTGTGTGCAGTGTGTGCACACACGTGAAGGTGTACACACCCGTGTGAGCACAAAGCCCAGAGAGCATGAAGGGAGGAGTACTGCCCCATCACTCTCCACCTGACGCTTGAGACAGGGTCTCCCAAAATCGTGAGGTAGGCTAGCAGCCAGTGTGCCTGAGTAACTCTCTCTTCTCCTCCACGTGGGCACACTTGCAGCCATGCCCAGCTTAAAACAGCGATGCTTGTATAGCAAGCGTCCTTCCTCACTGAGTCATCTCTACGCTCCCACCCCTTATGTTTTCTTTAGAAATGGAAGATTTGAGGCTGGAATGATGACTGGGTCAGTAAAGCACCCGCTACACAAGAATGGAGACCTGAATTTGGACCCCCACACCCACATGAAAGTCAGGTGTAACCCTAGCACGTGGGCACAACATGAGCAGACCCAGGGGACTCACTCACCAGCCATGCTCTAGAAAGGGTGAGTTCTGGATGCAGTGAGAGACTGTCTAAACAATGAGGAGGGTCAGTAATAAGATACCCAATGCCTACCTGTGGTTTCCACAGATGCACATGCATGGGTTAGTGTGTAGACACCCTCAGATGAATGCATGTATGAACATATAAACAACACACACACAGGCAAATGAACCCATATATACACGTACTTATGTGTATGCACATATATACAACACACACAGACTCTGAAGATTCATTGCGACTCTGTGATGAATATGCACATCTTTTTGTCAAATCTTGGTAGTTCTTGTAATATTCTCTTTCAGTATTTCTTTTTTTTAAGATTTATTTATTTATTATGTATACAACATTCCTTCCGTGTATGCTTACATGCCAGAAGAGGGCACCAGATCTCATTATAGATGGCTGTGAGCCACCATGTGGTTGCTGGGAATTGAACTCAGGACCTCTGGAAGAGCAGCCAGTGCTCTTAACCTCTGAGACCCGCTTTCAGTATTTCTATGTGTTTGAGGTTATCTGTGATCTCCACAAGCCACACCCACACAATTCAATGTGTTGTGTGTGCTCTAATTGCTCCACCACCTGTTCATTCTTTTCAGTCTCTTTGGTCCTACTTTGAGACAACATTGTAGTAAGACCTTCAGGTAAAAGGAAGATTCATGAATTTCTCAAGCACGAGGAAGAGTTCTCGGGGTAAGAGCTGGGAAAGCTGCTGAAGATTAGACTCAAGCCAGCAGAGATGGGATCAGGAGGTTTAAAATCCACACCCCAAACAAAACACAACAGGAGGTGGTGGCGCTCACCTTTAATCCCAGCACTCAGGAGCCAGAGGCAGGCGGGTCTCTGTGAGTTCCAGGCCAGCCTGGTCTACAGAATGAGCTCCAAGATAGCCAGGGCTACACAGAGAAACCTTTTCTCGAAAACAAAACAAAACAAAAGGCAAAGAGTGAATGCAGCAAGCTAGAAAGAAGAGCTAGCTAAAGTCGCAGATGAAGTCAGTACCCCTAACCCTAACTGTAGCAACAATAAACTGATTTGTCAGTGTGGAAGTAAACAGTCTTATATTGCAAGACACTGTCTAGGAATTTCTTATTTGTACAGACATCTATGCTTGGCTTCAAAGGACCAAAGCATCTGCTGGCTGACACATGGTGGGGTGGGGGTGGGGGGTGGCAATACAACTGGGAACTGTATTTAAGGCAATGCTCGCGCCCAGATGTGATGGGCTAAATCCACTTAAAAACCTGAGAAGGCTTAAAAATAAGGGAGAGAGAGTTTAACACAGATTTTTGATGTTTGTTGGTGGCGTGCTGTAGAGAAATTTCCTGGTTCGGCAACAGCAGCAAAAAAAAAAAAAAAAAAAAA